CACGACCCCATCTGCAGGTGCACGACCCCATCTGCAGGTGCACGACCCCATCTGCAGGGCCGTCAGTCAGCCCATGCTGGGGCAGCAGCTGCCCAGGCGCCCCATGGGCCCAGCCGGCTCCACAGCGCAGGGCTGTGCCCACGGCGATCCGGCACAGACGGGCACGGTGCACCTTCCAGCAGGATGAGCATGGCCCCTTTCAGGTCAGCAGCTGAGTAGGTCAGCAAGGCCCTGCAGCCTCCAAGGGGCTGGGGGAGACAACACTGGAAACAGGTTGCCCGGAGAAGATGTGGCTGCCCCACCCCCGGAATTGTTCAAGGCCACACTGGACAAGGTTTGGAGCAACCTGGTCTAGTGGAAGGTGTCCCTGCCCCATAGGAGGGGGTAGAACAAGATCAGCTTTAAGGTCCCTTCCAACCCAAACCATGCCATGATTCTGTAACAAGCTGCAGTGCAGGAGCAAAGCTGGGGGGTTGCAGCCAGCCCCAGTCCCTACTGGAGATGCCTGTTTCTCTGCGCTGGGGCCAGAGAGGTGCAGGAAAAGCCCAGTGAACACCAGAGCCCCAGCAACTGGTAAAGCCATTTCATGTCATTCAAGTGACACTCTGACTCTGGGGACAGGGCAGCATAGCCACGCAGAGGAGAGGGCACCTGTCCCAACTGCAGTGCCAGAGCACAAGCAACAGTCATCACCATCCCCTCCAGGATGCCCCAAAGCCCAAGATGGAGCAACACAGGCAGCTCCAGCACCCTATGACCAGCACTGTGTGTCCTGCTCTTTCCGTCAGGAAAGAGTTCATCAGAGACCGGCCAGAGCCAGGATGGACACAGCTCCTACATCCCCACATCAACTTCTTGGATAGAACCCACAGGTGCTGCTGCCCAGGAAGGGATTTCACTAGGACCACGTGCCTGGGATGTACTGCTGAGCCACTCAGCTCCAAGCATCTCTCACCAACAGCCCTGTGCTGGGGGTGATTTCCCACCGGGACAGAAATTCCCACCCCAGAGCCCACAGCAAAGCTCCTCTCCCAGCAGGCAGTGCTGGGAGTGAGGCCAGGCTTCAGGAGAGCCACATCCTGCAAGGACATGGCTGGGGCTACACGGAGCGTTGGGTGTCTCAGCTTGGCCTCTGGGACCTGGCAGAGAAACCCCAAATATTCTTCCAGCCACATATGGCATACCCTTGCTGCCCTGGCCCCAGGCACCCAGAGAGCAACAGGGAAAAGGGCACAGGGTCAGGGGCTGAGCTGGGGCAGGAGGTGACCCCAGATCCTCCTTGGCAACCCAGTGCCAAGGAAGGACAACATGGAAGGTCACAGGTGACATCCCAAAAACACTCAAAGCCTGGGGTGAGGCCAGGGAGCCAGCTGTGTTCTGTGGGAGTGACTCTGACTCTCTCATGAGACACATGGCTGGCACATTGAGGGATCCCCCAAACTGGCACGTGTATGTCACAGGCAGCACAGCAGTAAAAGCCTCAACCACAGCACCACTGGCTCCTCGGCGAGCCCAAACTCCTGGAGCAAAGCCGAGTCTTGGCACCTCGAGTGCCCCCCTGAACCCCCAAACGGGGGGCAGCCATGTCGCACCCCCTGCTTTGTGCTCCATCCTCTCCATCTTACCCAGAGCCATTCCGAGTTCCCGCAGCCGGCCCCGCACCGAACCCACTCGCAAGCAGCCCCGCTACAGCTCCGGGAACGCGGATGCTCAAGGCAACGGTCCGTCCGGCCGCGCCTCGGCGCGCTGGCGGTGCGGGACCCATCGGGGGCAGGATGGGATCCACCGGGGACAGGATGGCTCCGGCACGGCCTCGGGGATGCAGATCCCGGCCCCATCCCCGGCCCGGAGAGGCGGCTGCACCGGCAGGGAGGGGGGGATGGACCTGCCCCACGGCGCGGTGCGCGGGGATGCTCCGCTGCGCTCGCACCCCGTGGCCGCGCCCCGGCTCGGAGCGCCCCCCGGCACCCCGGTGCACCGCGGCTGGGGCATCAACCGCGAGCGCGGTAGTCCCTACGGGGCTTCGGCCCAGCCGCGCTGCAGGTGCGGGTCGGGCCGGGGCGAGGATGGGTCCCGAGGGAGCCCCCCCGATGGCCCCGATGCGCGGCCCGGCGGCGGCGCTAACCCCCGACCCCCTTTCCCCCCCTCAGCACGCGGCCGTAACAAAGCACCGCACGCCGGAGCGGCCACCGGCGCGGGGCTTGTCTGCCGGGGCCGGGCGCTCTCGCCGCGCCCCCGCCCGCCCGGTGCGGGCGGGTGCCCGTCCCCGGCCCGCGCGGTACCTGCTGCGAGTGCGCGGGCGCGCGCGCTCCCGCCCCAGCATCGTGCGCCGCGCGGTGCGTGTGCGGCGCGCCGACCGCCGGGCGGCGAGAGGCGGGCGCGGGACCGCGCACCGCTGCGCACGCGCCTTAAAGCGGCAAAGCGCACCGGGGCCCCCGCGCCGCCGTCCCCGCAGCCCGCGCCCGCGACCCCCCGGGACGCCCGGGTCGCTCTCACCCCGCCCGCCCAACCTCCTCCCCGTCGCCGTGTCTCACATCACTGCCGCCCCAGCCCGGTCCCTGCTGTCCCCAACCTCAGCCCAGCATCCCCCCAGCTGCCCCCGGAGCCCTCAGGCCATCACTCACACACCCAAAGGCAGCACCAGTGCCCCCCAGTCCAGCCCGCAATGTGACACCAAGGCCATCCCTCGGACTGGTCCCAGTGTCCCCCAAGCCGCCCTGTTCTCCCTCCCCAAAGGAACCACCTCCCACTGTGGGTCCCACTGTGGGGTGCTGGGACAGCTGCTCCCAGCAATCCCAGTGCACACCCCCAGTAAGGACACCCACGCCCACCCTGCTCTGCCCTTCATCAACCAAAATCCCTATTTTTGTCCTTTTTCTCTCTCACATCAGAGCAGGAACCACGCTGCAGGGCAGGGTCCTCACCAGGATGGTGACAACTGGGACACCTTCGCCAGCCCGGCCATAGTGGGCAGAGAGAGTTAACTGCAGCCTTGGCAAGACAGACCCAGTCCCTGCAGGCTGGGAAATAAGTAATTCCTTCCTTGAAGAAACGGCAACGCCTCTTGGCTCCTTCCTCACTGCCCTATCACTCGCTGCACAGTGCTTGCCCCAGCAACGGCACAGCTGGCCAGGGGTACCCGACCATCCCTGTCCCTACTGATCAGCTCCTGCTCGCACCCACCAACCCCTGGCCAGAGCTCATGGTGAGGTCCCCAATAACCTCCTGCAGGCAGCCAGCCCTGCAGTGGGGTGTCAGCTCCACAGCCACGTGTGCCCACGGGGCAGCACTGCATCCCCATGGTCCCTCCAGCCTGGCACGATGCCAGACACCGTCCTTTCCCTCCTCTTCTGCTGGCCAGCTGCCTCAGCCCTGCCACGGCCAGCTCGGGTAGTGTCAGAGGAGCTTCAGCTGGGCCCAAATCTGGGCTAGGGACATCCAGGGTGGCAAGGGGAGACAGCCTGGCATAGCCCAGCACAGTCCAGCACAGCCCAGCACAATGGCCCCCGGGACAGGCAGCTTTGACCCTGCCAGAGCCACGGGCCCACTGTGAGATGACAGCAGAGAATCGCTGCTGATCACAGCAGCCCCACTGGCACCAACACTGGCACTGACCCCATGCAGAGGAGCATCCCCAGCTCATTTCTCAGCGGAGGTTGCTGTTGTGGCCCAAGGTTCAAACTCTCCCCATTTCACCTGTCTCACACTGGCAGACACCTGCCCGTGCACCAGATAGACCCACTGGAACCAGTGGGGGCCCCTGACACCCGTGTCCCTGCCAGGCTGGTGCTGCTGGATCCCAACTGCCTACCTGAAGCCCACCCCGGATGAAAGCGAGTCCCTCCTGGTCTGCCCTGGCCCTTTCCTCCTGTCACAGGGGAGGAAGTGCAGGGCCTGCACCAGGGGGTCCCACACCCCACATTGGCAGCTCACTGACACCAAGGGGGCTCTGTGACACCGGTGCCCCCAGCCCCAGCCTTATGCTGTGACTTGAGGCAGGAGCAGTGAGGAAAGCACAGGCACAGCCGGGACTCTTCCCATCCTCCCCCTCTCCTCCACTTAATGGGGCAGAAAAACCAATTAGCTGCATAAATCCCTCTGGGAGGGTTGGGGGCTCCCCATGGGCACGGGCAAGGGGGGCTCTGCTTCCCCCTCACATCCACATCAGAAACCACCTCAGGGCATCACAACACTCATCACTTCCTCCCTGACTCCCTTAGGATCCCCACAGCCCCCTAAGCCCCTCCGTACCCTTTCAGGACCCTCCCAGACCCCCAGGTACCCTCTCATATAGGGCCAGCCCCTGCAGAGAGCCAGGCCACCCTGACCCTGGGTGTTTTCTGATTGGATTTTGGGTACTGGCATCTGGCACCTTTCACTGAAGCCATGCTCAAAGGAACAGGGGGCTGCAGAGACC